GAGGAAAAGCACTGGCTGAAGCTTTATGTAAAAATACCACCTTAACGAATTTAAATTTAGAAAGTAATGGTATAGGTGAATCAGGAGGAAAAGCACTGGCTGAAGCTTTATGTAAAAATACCACCTTAACGAATTTGAATTTAAGAAATAATCAGGAGGAAAAGCACTGGCTGAAGCTTTATGCAAAAATACCACCTTAACGAATTTAAATTTAAGTTGTAATAGGCTAGGTAAATCAGGAGGAAAAGCACTGGCTGAAGCTTTATGTAAAAATACCACCTTAACGAATTTAAATTTATAAAGTAATGGTATAGGTGAATCAGGAAAAAAAGCACTAAATGAAGTAAAAATAATTAGATCTAACCGTTTAGTTTTACACATATGATAGATTACACAAAACTGTATAAAAAATAATAAACCTATTAGACCATCTATTGTTTATTGGTGAATTTGTAACTGCTTATATTCATTTTGTTAAAATTTATTCATAACTAACCATTATCTATAATTGGTTTTCCTGATTATAGAAAGTTATTTCTTTATGATAAAACCACAAATTTATAAACTTAAAATATACTATAACTTGAAGTACAATTTATATAAATAGAAAATTCTGGTTTTGAAATCACCCAAGCTATTATTAATTTATTGTACTTTGTGATCTCTGCAGATTACGATGCCATGTGAAGGTAATAAATTTGATCGAAACTATTATTAATAGATAATCTAGAATCTTCTTTGGTAATTATCACAAAAATCATGTAACGATGAGATCTGAAATCCGTAAACCCAGATATCAGATCAAAATCCGATCCTAGGCGGATAAGTACTATTTATTTCCCGCGTAGGCGGGAATAAGAGGTAAATCCCCAATCAACCGGGGGGCCCGAAGGGCCCACGGTTTATTAGGGTTTACCGGTTTATTCCCCCGTAGTGGGAAATAAGCGTGTTATTCTTCGTTTCATATGATGTCATGACGATGTTTTACGACTTATATAAATAAACTCTTTTTTCGATAGACTTTTTTTTTTAGCACTATTTTCTTTCTTTTATCGTTCTACTTTTTTCTGTTCTACTATTTTAAAATGAATAACAACTTGCATGAAAGTTTCTTGCCGGTACTTTTTTTTATTACTTATATAATATTGATATTGGTGTGTATTTATGTTTAATAAGTTAATATTCTATATGCATACGTACAAGGCTTCTAAGTTGGTCGAAAGCAGTAACATTACACAAGGCTTAACTAATACTATCGAATATAATTTATCTGATGCTGTATTGGATGATATTTCTGTGGGTAATGATCGATTTGAAGTTTTGACTGAAGATATTATTAACGAAATGGTCGAATATGGTGCCGTTAAAAATACTAAGAAGAATTGGGTTCGAGTTTTAAAAGAATACCGGTCTTCAGTTAATTTAAATTATGATATATCTACAATTCTTGATACAATATTACGATAAAATATTCTTGAATGTATTTTTAAGAATTTATAATAAATACGATATTAAATTTATTTCAAATTTTAATAACTACTCAAAAATATTGATCTAAAAAATAATACTATTGCCTTGTCTAAGAGAATTTAAAACATCACCGGGGAAATAACAGGCATCACCGGGGAAATAACAACCATTTCCGGGGAGATAACTATTGTTAATAAAATTTGAACCTTTTTTACTGATTAAAATAGTGATTATAAGCCGTAAAACCCCGTCATGCGATCATATGGGGTCTTTCACATTAAAAGGGCCCATTTTGCAAATTTTTTGAAAAATGAGTTTTTATTAGTATATTATTTTTTATCGCCAGTGGTTATATCGCCGGTCACGTGATTAATAAAATAAATCGACCAATCAAATGCCAATATAGTTATAGTGTGATAGTAACTATAACGATAACAAAGTTATGTAGTATCATGCAGGGGTTCAATAGAACCAAATCGAACTTTTACTTCAATTACTTGTACTTTATAAAGGAAAGTTGCCTATAAGGAGAAGTCTAGCGCTGCAATAACGAATCAATTAGTAAAACCAAAGTGGGTGCGAAGTATAATTCAAACTGTTGAACTGACATCAAGTAGACGAACATTTATTAACTTGCAATAATTAGTACTTATAGGGCAATAAGTGACAATTGTAGTTCGACAACTACAAGCAAACCAAAAAAAAAAAACAAAAATATCGTACTTCAACGAAATATAAGCAAATAGTTTTTGGTGTTTTTTTTTTCTTGAAGAGCATGGCCCTACAAGAATCTCAAACTGAAGAAATATTAGGTAAGTTGGCATTCCATATGATAATTTATGTTAGCACGCACTTATATTTAACTAATTCTTTGACATTATTAATTTGGGCTATTTATTGCACTAGGATCATCACCTTATACGGAAGTGTTCCAGGTGTATGGGGAATTTCAAAGTATGCTCTATAGTCCAAGCTTCGTAATCTACAATAATTTTTTTAATTTGAACGAAGAAAATGATCTACTTTTACCAGAATTACAATATACGTCAGTTGATCAAAGTAATCAAATAGAAACTGAAGACGATAGGTCTGAAGCTACTACTGATTCTGATGATTCTGGTGCTATTATATGGCCAATTATTTCTGGTGTTAGCTTTCTTTCTTGGATGTCACTTGAAAAAAGTCTTGAACATTATGGAAGGGAAAATGGGTTTAAACCAATAAAAGGACGACGAAATACAGACAATGAAACTGGAAATATCATTCGTTGGTGCTTCGAGTGTGAATACTCTGGAGATCCAAAACCAAAACATAATATTGATCATACTCAAGCTCGACAAACATCTTCAAAAAAAACACAGTGCCCATGGCGATACAATGCTAGCTATAGAAAAACCGAGCAAAAAATTTACATTAATAAACTTATTGAAGAGCATAATCATAGCCTTACACCACATTGTGAGGAATTTGCACCATCTTTGTGACGACTGTCACAGGACATTTTAGATGAAATTAAGTTTATGACCCAAAAACGTGAATATAATGCTAGACAGCAAAGACGGTATCTTGTTAATAAGTTTCCTGGTGTTAATATTTATTCTAAGGATCTTTATAATGCAATCTGATATTACAAAATTCCTGCTGCCTCAAAAATTAACCAGGATGCCGCTCTGATGCTTGAATATTTGATTTATAAGCAGCGTGAAGATCCGAATTGGAAGGTTAACATGTATTTTGAAGGTGCTGATACTTCTTTAGCCTGTCTTTTTTGGCAGAGCCCAACTCAGTCTATGTTGTATGAACAGTTTCATGACGTAGTCATGAATGATAACACTTGTAAAACAAACATTTATAGAATGTTATTAAATAACATTATTTCGAGAATTCACAGTGCAAAGTGTAATATCGAATTCACCAAATTCAGATTGCCAATTCAGAACATAAATTACATTACATAAAACTAAACACCTAATACCCTAACTCTAACCATAACCACTAACAACCTAACACCCTCACCCTAAACCTAACCAAATCTAGTGCTTACTTTTTTTTTTGTTTTTAGGATTTAGTTCACAAGTATTAGCATAGTGACCTGTATTATTACAATAGAAACATTTGCGCATTGATTTGTTTGTAATATCAGATTCATTAAGTACTTTATTAGATTTAAGAATTTGATGAGAATTCGATTTGTTAATAACTTCTAAAGAGTCATGTAACTGCTTCTTTGGTCGACCACAATGTGAAATAACATGAGGATTTGTTATTAATCCAATAATATCCGATCTTAATGAGTTGTCAACATGAATAGATTTTGATTCAATAAAGATGTGCATTAGACCAATAAACTCATTCATAGTATCACTATTCAGTGCAACTTGAATACCTTTTTTAGCAATGCCAATGCCTTGACAATACAAAGCTTTTTTGGACGTGTATCGTTGAACTTCATCGTTAAAACAGTCTGGTCCTCTAATCTGTTTAATTATAGCAAAGCCACCACTTGATTCATCAATTTGTATCTCCTGTATATCTGTTACAGTGTTTGTAATAGTAATAGTGCTTAGTTGTTTAATTACATTTGTAGGATTTGTAAACTATCGTCGAGGTATCATTTGTACTTGAAACTTAATAAGTGAGGAGATAACTAGAACAGAAAAGAAGTGTTGACAAAAAAAACCTCTGGCAATAAGTGACATACAAGAACATAAATGAGTTCCATCATATAGAACTATAATATAATGTTCACTATAAGGAGCTAGATTACTAA